ATAATCGATAATATCATTTCTGTTATTTAACAATTAATACTACTGCATCAATTAAAAGTAATTAAAAATATTATGATCACAATAATTTAACGAGTTTTTTATTATTTATTTTTCTCGGCTCCCGTCATTACAAGTTCTCGAATAACACCAATTTTATTTTTAAATAATGTTTTTAATAAAATATTTACGCATTCATTAGTTAATGATTTCATAATAATTAATACTTAATTAACCTTCGCAGGCGGAATTGATATTTAAATGTAATAAATACTTCAAATAATACTTAATAACAGCAATTTATTAATTATTAATGCAAATTAATGTTCGGTTAGAGTTTTTCGATAGTTCATATTTTACGTAACGTTGCCTATAAAATGAAATATGAGAAAGAAGACTATCTGCTCACTGAAAATTTGATTCTAAATTTTGTTACTAAAAATATGATCCACTAAGGGATCCACTAAATAATCGACTCGAACTGTCGCGTAGATTCAAACAAATAAATTTTAATTTGCATCCGTATCTTCTTCGTAGGTAGCCCATTGTATTCAAAAATTGGCAGCATCCTGCAGCGTCTTTGCATTCTTCGAATTAAAATAAAATTCAAGTGGGATTAGCCGATCCGGAGTCCTTTCTCATATTGATTAATTTAATATTTAAATTTAATTCCGCGGAAAATACCGAAACATAAGGAATGTAGACGCTTAGCATATTTTGAATATCAAAAATCTACCTAACTATACAGGGTGAATAATTTTATATAAAAAACCGTAACGGAAACTACGTCGCTGTGATTATAGGTATACGTGGAAAATGTGGTCCCGAAGCAGATTTACTGAAATAAAGAACTAAATTGAACATGACTCAACTAATATCACTTAATAAGCGTTATTATCCTAATTAAAAAAGGTAGATCGTTTCGTAACGACAACAAAGAAAATTAATTATCCGCAAAAACCACACAAAAAAAAAGAAATTAATTATTCGTACCTGCGTTCTTTTGGAGATATCCTTGGCGGCGGAACTATTTATAGAAACGTCCTTTCTTGGACAGCCGCTCTTACACTTTTGTTACAAGATTAATATAATAAATAAATTTCCTAGAATCATCCTGCGAACGGTCATCTGATTAATTGGAAAATTTATTTTTACTCGAGTGCAAAAAACGTATACAATCATTGTGGCCTCAAAAATTAGGCATTAAACTCGTTCTAAAGAGGACTAAAGAGGACTATGCATATAAATCCCTGTTCATTTCGTAATGCATGGATATAAAATTATTAATGCTTAGATTGCCTACTTTTAATGCGAACTAAAAGAGTTTAAAAAAAACGAATATTCCATCAAACAGCATCCCGTTTTTTCTTTCGATTTCCGCAGTAGTGGAAATAGCTTTTTTCCATAATTAAGTCCTACAAAATGGGTTTCAGATATTTCCATCAGCCTGTCATGCATGACTTGTTGTGTAAACGAGTTTTTCCATTAGTATATTAAAACTCCATGTTTTGTTTACGTCAAGTAATTTTCAAATCAAAGCTAGAGCCTGAAAATATTTTAGTGCTTTGATTTTAATATGATTATTTTTCCGTTCTCCCTTGATAACATTTATCGATGTTCTTAGTAAGAACGGCAAACAAATCAAATATAATGGTTGTTTCCAAGTGGATAATATTCCAACTTTATTTTATTATTGGAAATGTTATAGATCAACGCTTTTTTACAGATTGGACATTTGTCCTCTAAGAAGTGATTGATGAAAAGTTAGAAACAAACAAAACAGTCTATAACAGGATTCATTATACCTAATTTGTGAAAGTATTTTGATTTTGCAGTTTGAGAGAATAGATATTTTAACCGAAGTTTCTATTAGCTAAAAACGTAGTCATATAGCGTGTAATGCGCACTTATACTAGATACATAAAAGCTTACACGTACATAATGCAATATCTAATAATTATCATCTGTTTGATGAACTGGAGGAATGCGGATTATCTGGAATTCCCTTAAAAAGAAAACGCTCCTTTGTAAAAGCGCTTTGCAACGTTACGTTTTTTGCACCTGAAGCGATTTTAACGTATGCTAATTTCATCCGACCATTACTATCCATCGGTGGTAAAGTAAGAAGTAATAAACTGTAATTAAAGAAAATTATTTTTAGCATGACCATACCACGGGCTTAAATATATGATTTGTTATTTTGATTTATCAGAATAATTATTAAATAATGTGTACTTAAGGCAGTCGACCAGCTGGGTTTGCGCCGGAACCGGCACGTTCCACGTCCACCAACCGGCCGGCCGGCTGTATGCTAATTTCCCTATTATATTCAGTGCTATATGGACTCTCGGCAACCGGGTTTAGCGTTTTCGTCTGCGGCACGGCGTTGAAGCGAGATAGGTGGTGAGTAGGAGTTCGACGAGAAGAAGCGATTATACACCCACGACCTGTGTAATTGTGCTCGTTCGTGAGACGGGATATGACCTCAGGCTCTCCAGGGGTACTGGCGAAACTGCAACTCTTGCAATAAATACGGCGAGCGAAGTGTCTTGTTTTATTAAGAATATTTGTTTAGACCAGATTTTACGATACGTCTCGCCGAACTTTTTACCGATACTAAAATGCATTCTTCTTCGTGTTTTTTAATAAAATCTATCTGGATTGTATCGTAGGCAAGTGCTTCTGAGGTGTTACTGAAAAATGCCAATTGTTGCTAGTCAATTATACTAAAGTGTGATTGAACCGATTGAACTTGAAAAAAATTACAAAAAGAAGTTTCAAATATGTATGGTCCATCAAATGATCCACATTACTGCTTCATTTCTTTCACTAAACTTCTAAATAAGCCATTCCCAATTCCCAGTATAATAACTGACAGAAAGTATGTAGATACTAATAATTTAATTACATATTAAAACGTGCTAAAGACTATTGATCTTATATCCCAGATGGTTCATCACTGTCGATTAGATCATAATCGAGTGGTTCAAAATTATTGTAATATTTTCTTGGTTTATCTGTATATTTTTCTCTCCTAACCTGATTCTCTGGTTTATCCACCTTCAATGGGCAATCAATTAAGTGCTGCTTCAGAAATAATACAAGTGTGCAGATTTCAGCAATTATTAGGGTAACTAACAGTAGCGCCACGATTTCTTTACAGTTACTTTTACGGGGAGGAAGGCAGCACCTATTCATCACTAATAATAATCACTACCACACCTAACGTAAATTTTCATTAAAAAAATATATTAAAAAGCGTTTAACGCATATAATTTTGACTTTATAACCTTTACATTGAATAGATAATAAATAAATGTCATATGATTACTGTTTATGTCATTTTGATTAAGTTAGTTCCTGATCAAATATCAAAAATTACTGAAAACCAATAACCAAAGAGGTCCAAAATTTTGTATAAATTTATTAAAATGAAAGAGGGAACAAAACTTTGATTTTTGCAACTTACAAATAACATTACGGTGTAAAGTAATTTAAACATAGTAGTAGGTATATGAAAAGAGAATTTCCTCTCGATTCAACTATGAATTTCTCCAACAATTGGACAGACATAGGCCGGATGATCGCTGCTCTTTCAGACGCCACAAAATGAGATAATTACAGCTAAAGTTTAATTGCGCTCAAATTAGAAGGTAATAACAGGTACATGGCCGGTACATCCTGTCGATAAGGTGGGTTTCGTAGTCGAAAACCCCCAATTCTCGCCTCTAGCGACTCAAAAGGCGACCCATCAATTAGGTCGTTGCAATTATTGTGTGTTTAAGTTTTTAAAATTTATATGGAATACAAAGTAATTTCGAAACCGTCCGGGGATTATTAATTAGACGGCACCTCGTCGCCAATTCTGGTAATTCTTATAATTTATCATCCTAAAGGTTTTTTCCTTTTTCGGTCGTTCGAGCCTGTGAATGAAAATTACCTACTAAAGTAGTTGGATGCAACCTTGACTGTCATTCCGAGGAACTCAAATAGATTCATTCTTAGATAATTTTGTATTAAAAACTAAAATAATATTACAAACCTACACACAAACAGGACTAAAGGATTATTGGATTGCTTTATTTTTATCAATATTATCAGAAAATCCGGTTTCTTATAATGTTGTCTTTTTAAATATATTAGATATACTAGTAATAAAACAATACATAAAATAAATTGAATCATGCACATGTCAATTTGTCAAACAAAATTCGGTCTTCAAACCTAGTTAAATGCTTATTTTCGTAACAATCATCGCTATTTTCATTTTCATAAACTAAAACATCATCATGGTTTGTTAACCACAATTTTCTTTCACATCTATCAATACTTTCGGTCAATCTGAACACATAATTTTTACTTCTTTTTGAAAATAATATGTACATAGTTTGATCTTCCATTATTATTTCTAATACCGGTCCTGCGTAATAGATGTTTTCGTATTCGATATAATCCTTGCATTTGGACATTATTGGCACTTTATTCGAATAACTGCAATCATTGTCATTATAATTAACTACTCTACCACTCTCGAATGTCACGGTATTTTCAATCAGGTCTACTCTCCCTTTTACAAGCCCGTCATGGAGCTCGTATGTTCCTATCCATCCTGGTCTTTTCACCACCACTTTTACTTGCGGATTGAAAAGTCGCTCGGTTACTGTATAATATTTAGATGTAACATTTATGTTTTTATTGCAAGAACGAATTACCTCTATATCGATATTTGCACCATTTGCTACCAGAATACCTGGCAGACACAGAGAAATAAATACCTGCAATGTTGTCATCTCGGTTAATACTAATAAACTGGCTTTCACGAAGTTTATTTTAATATATTTATACAGAAGTGATGTCCTTGACAGGTTCATTGTGTTGCTATTTAGAAAACGGGAATTTCCTGTGATCAATATCTTATAATTTTTGAAGATTTTTTTTAATTACCTATAAAGCAAAAAACAGCGTGTAACCATTAAACAAGGAGTTAAAGAAATAAAACTTTATGATATTGCTTAACAAATATGTATGTACTATAAACAATATATTACATAAAATTATAACAATTTATACTATTATTTAACACTCTTTGGTTATGTCAAAAATTCGAAATTAATTTTCTCGTTGACTGCAAATTTGGATAGGCGAACGTCCTCATAGCAATCATCTGAATTATCATTCTCAAAAGCTAGAACGCTCGAGACATTTGTGGCCCAGATTACACGATTGCATCTTTGATAGTCTTTAACCAGCATAAACGAGTAGGACTTATTTCTTTTAGAAAATCTTAATATTTTTGTTCGATTTACAGTCACCTCTTCAACAGGTCCCGAGTAGTACGTTACCTCGAACACACTTTGTTGTCTGCAATCGAATTTAACTTTGGGCTTCCCTGCATAACTACATTTGTTATCAAGATCATCGTAATCGAGGAGTCTTCCATTCTGCAATATCAAGGTATTTTCAATTATGTCCACTGTACCTTTCCAAATTTCGTCGTATATAACTAAGCCTCCGCTTGGACCTCGGCGGGGCACCCCAACAGTAACGTTCGGTTCAAATTTGCGATCAAGAAGGGTGTAAAATGTTTTCCGACCATTCCGACCTTCTGAAGCGTCTGTACTTGGTTTACACAAACTAATTAAACAGAGAAACATTAATTGAATTAACATTTTTGATTATGTTTTAATGTGTTATCCTATCGTTGTATTAGTCAAACTATAGTAATGTTCTGTACGGGTCTAAAGCTTTTATACAAGTTACTAGGTACTTACTTACTTATCAGGCTATTGTAATAATACTGACTATTATGATAAAAAAATCTTTATCTAATTGATTGATGAACCATTGCGCAATAAAAAAATGTATTGTTTTTTTTTTATTAAAAGATTTCAATATTTAAATTCGATATTTTCATTAGAAAAAGGATTTGTGGTCATTTCAGTCGAATGACCTCTATTATTTAATCAATTAAAATTAAGACTCGTTTAGATATTGAATGAGTTTCGAAATTATAACAGACACCTGAACTAAATTCTAAAAAAGAACCAACCATATTTTTACTGCATTAATAAACCCTAAAATAAAGAAATAACCACAAACTAATTTGTCGATAAAATTGGTGAGCGTCGACAGAGGAGCCGATTTTAATTGTCAGGTCGAGGCGGTCGCGTTAATTGTTCTCGGTTGAGGTACCATGGTACCCGTTTTTTTTTCCTATTTTTACTCGGCCTCGAACCATGTCAAATAATTCTTCTCCTTATTGGATCTATAAGGTGGCTTATTGATGGTCCATCCGTACCGAAACTCAAGTATTTCTTAGACAACATCCATGAATTTCAACGAAATTAGTTTGTCATGGTGTTAAAAATGAAATTATGCATTGCGTAGGCAGTTAACAGGAGTTTTTTGTTGGTTGTAATTTGTATTTCCTTTATTGGTTACCATTGTACGAAGGTGGAAATTTAATACACAAAGTGGTGATAAAAAGAATTGTTTATGAAATTTAGGAGAAACCTCTAAATTATTCTAACGTAATGTAATAGTAGAATAAAACATTCGTTTTGATAAAGACATGATAAAAGTGCGCCAATGCACCGGGGAGAATACAACAGATCGTTCGATTCTCCCAACGGGTAAGTACCTAATCCAGCAATTTTAACGGACCGCGTTTTTATACTAGAACAAAGTGCAATCAGGATACCCTTTAATCGGACCAGTGTAGGTGCGATGATCCTTGTAAATAATTATGATCACGGCGATGGAACGCGAACCACAAATCCGTTGGCTCACTATATTGACGGCGGCGATCATTTTCATAATTCATAATTTCATTAATTTGTTACTTGGGGCTTTGTCACGATTTTATGTGGAATATTATCGGGTTACCGAAGTAAAATTATCTCCCCAGTAATTATTGGTAAGCCAAAGAATTTATTAAATGCATAATTAGTGGTTAATTACCGAAGAATATAATTCCAGACAATTTTGGACCAATCTTCTACGTATCGTTAAATGTTTTGTGTTTTTTTTATGAGATTATTATCTTAAGCTTGCACGTGATTGCCGACATGCTAACCTTCAAGAACCTACGAACTTTACTGCAAGTGCAGGTGTAAATCTCGAACAATACAAACACTTGACTCTGGAAGGTTTATGCCTTATAGTTTTCGGTATTGTTGCATATTATTAATGATTTTATAGATTTTAAGAATCGTGTTTAACGTGCATAATAAATAATTAATCCAATCAATATGAACGTATTTACATATACGTTCAATAAAAATCTTAAAACCTTTATCTACAACTATAACCTTAGTGTGTTTGAATTTCGCTGCGGAGGTTTATGCAGTCGACATTTAAATAAATCTAATGCTTTCAAAACAATTAAAAACGGCTATAATTGTGCACCGTGGCATACATAATTGAACCTGCTGGCATTTTAATCCTTATATAGCTGCAATTAATACTCATTAGGTAATTTATTATCGGAGTTTTAATAATAAATTAGCGACATATGGGCCTCATTATTAAGAACACTTAGCTTCGCGTACGGATAAAAGAAAACTTACGTAGGATTTTGTTCGTATTACATAGACTGCAGGATGTTCCGAGAATTTATAACGTTCTCGCAATGGAGTGAGAATAATTGGTACAATACTGGGTGAAATGCAATCTTAGAATGCGAATGCAATTTTTGCAATTTTTATTTTATTCTATGTAACAGTTTTGTTTTTAATACTTTTTAGCATTTAATCTTATCAAAATAAATGATAAATCATGAAAATATAATCTAGAGAAGATAACTATTAAAATATGTAATCAAAATTGGATTTTTTGGTACCAAAAAAAAGAAAATTGATAAAATAAATTGATAAAATTTTACTAGACGAACCTCCAGGTTTCAGAATAACAATGATGAATAAATATTATTTTAAATGAAATATAAACATAAAAAAAGATAGTGCCAAATTATAAATGAAATTTTTATTATTACAATATTTAACCTAAACTGACCCAAGATTATTAAAATTAAATCAAATATGATAAATACAGTTCATATTTTTGAGCGTTTAATATAATTTTACGTACTGATGTTAGCGAATCTCTAGTATTGCACTCACATTTTCGTTTAAGTAGATAGATTGATGTCGTTGAAATGCGCTATACTATATTTTTTCTAATTTTCTTACCAAATATATTGGCATCGATAGACGAGGAATGGCAAAAATTCAAAGTAAGTGTCCCTCAAAACAATATTCGCATTTTTTACTTACTTAACTAATGCTTTTAATATTAGTCAGTAAATTGGTAAATATATATGTTTACTTTACCTTCAGATATATTACAAAAAAACATACTCATCCCAAGCAGACGAGCAGGAGCACTACGAAAATTTCAAAGAAAACTTAAACGAAATTGAATTACACAACAGACTTTTTGAAAAAGGACAAGTGTCTTATCGCAAGGGAATCACAAAATTCGCTGACCTTACAGACGATGAATTCGTGGCGAAGTACAGGTTCGATAAAAGGCCACCAAAAATTTACCTAGACGAGCCTGGGTACGAGTCCTCCAAAAACGCATCGGATCGTTTCGACTGGAGGGAAAAAGGAGCGGTGAGCAAGGTCAAGAATCAAGACACTTGCGGAGCTTGTTGGATATTTGCATCAGTAAGTAGGTACACATTTTAACCGTTTTATTAAATATGCAAGTTTGGAGGAAATGAATTGTTATATCCAAATTGTTCAACTGTAGTGGTCTACAACTCCTTAGAGGTGAAATAAGGTGTACAGGTGTATCATGTATACTGCACACCAATTGAAATTAAAATACACAATTTTGTTTCGTTTTTATTATTCAGGTTGGTGCACTGGAAGGTCTGTACTTCAGAAAAACCAACAAATCCATTGTTTTAAGCGAACAGAACCTAATCGACTGCATTTCGAACCATACTTGCAAAGGAGGTTGGCCTGAAACGGTGTTTCAATATATCTACTCCGGAAAAGGAATAAACACTGAGGATGATTATCCTCGAACGCCAAGTCCTGGGCAGTGCAAATTCCAGAAATTGAAGAACGTTCCGCTGACAATCAAGGACGTTGGTTTCGTAAAGAACGATGAAGAGGCCCTAAAGAAGGCTCTAGTTAAAAAAGGACCGATTGTTTTGTGCCTGTACGCAGGAGAAAAGTGGAAGCTGTATGAAAGCGGGGTGTGGTACGAAAGAGAATGTTCTGACATACCAAATCATGCTGTATTGCTGGTGGGATATGGGTCAGAAAACGGGCATGATTATTGGTTGATTAAGAACTCGCATAGTGAAGACTGGGGTGAAAATGGTTACATAAAGATAGCTCGGAATAAACACCGTAATTATTGTAGTATTACCAAATTCGCTATTTATGTAGAATAATTAATAAATTATTTTCCAACGCGATTTTTTGATCGAATTGATTGAGTACTTAATTCATTGTAATAGCTGTACCACTTCCAAATTGGTACATCAACATCATATGAAACTCTTTAAATAAAAATTGATGAGGATATAGTACGCAGTTATTATAATGAGCACATTACAAAACTTCAATTATTGCCAAATAAATTGTTTGAATGACTTTATCTTTCGGTGATTATTAACATGTTCTAATGCTAATGAAACGATATTACAAAGTGAAATAACATTAACTTATCTTAAATTCTTTTCCACTATACTCTGTTCTCTCACTCACTTTTCATAGTAGAAATTGTGTTTTTATAGTATATATATCTTCATTTTATCCATTAATTTATTTTAATTCCTTCAATTCGTATATTTTATGTTTTCAAAACAACTTTCATTTATAAACAATATTGTTTGGATTAACGTCCACATATCAATAATTTATAATTTACTAATTATTAACATTATATTTTGTTTGCCATTTTTGTTTTTTAATGATATACTAAATTATCAGCAAAATTATTGAACTTGAAGTTATGTATCGCATATTTGTTAGTTAAGCAGTATTAAGATTGAATACCCAGAATAGTATTCATCATTTTTTATAATAAAATTACGAACTTTTTTATGGCAATCGTTTATACTTGCACACTCTGTATTTCTAATGTCTAAAAGTCATGTAAACAAAATGTTAATCGTTGACCTTTTCTGGTAATATTGATATTAATGAAACGAAGGGTAGACAAGTGTTTAGTTGAAATTTTCGAATCTTCTACCAATCAACAAAAAATGAAAGCAGTATTACTAACTTTTATATTGTGTTTAGTTATCAGCGAGTTGTATTGTTCTTTAGAACACGAATGGAACCAATTTAAAGTGAGTTTCTACCAGCTAAATCTATTTATTGAAAATTAACCAAATTTGATCTTAGGTTACTTACAATAAAAAATATAAGACAAGTAGGGAAGAACAGAGAAGGTTTAAGGCATTCAAAAAAAATATAAGGGAAATAACCAATCACAATACAAGATTTAAGAAAGGTTTAGAAACGTTCGAGAAAGGTTTGACTGTATTCGCAGACCTTACGAAAAATCAATTCGATAAAAAATATGGTTTTAATCTCTTTAAACCGAAAACGATGATTGTTTACACTAGCACCCACAGACACAACAAATCAGCATCAACGGAGTATTTCGACTGGAGAGAAAAGGGTGCCGTAACTCCCATAAAGGACCAAGGAATTTGTGGATCCTGTTGGATATTTAGCGCAGTAAGAAAATAATTATCATCGAAATGTTTTACCTGTAAATTGGATATCTTTCTGTTTTTTTAGATAGGAATGCTGGAAGGTTACAACCTTTTAAAAACTGGTCAACTAATATCGCTGAGTGAACAAAACGTGGTTGATTGTTTTTCCAGCTCGTCGTGTAAAGGGGGATTTCCCGTAGATGCGATCCACTACGTTAAAGAAAATGGCATAAGCACAGCGGCCGATTACCCTTACAGACAAACCCAGGACAAATGTAAAGGCAATGTGCCCAGGATTACGATAGACTTCGAAGGATTTAATACACTGAACGTAACCGAAGACGGACTGAAAAAGCTGTTGATCAAGTTCGGACCTCTAGGCATCAGCTTGTACGTATCCGGAGTTTGGAGGTTGTACAAAAGAGGAGTTTGGTACCAAAAAGAGTGCTCCGATAACATCAATCACGCCGTCATTTTAGTCGGTTACGGCACTGAAAACGGTGAAGATTACTGGTTGATTAAAAACTCTTGGGGAAAGTCATGGGGAGAAGATGGTTATATTAAAATTGCAAGAAATAGACATGAAAATTATTGCGGGTTAACTAAAGATGTTATGTATATCTATTAATAAATAATTTATGTTAATGTTCCATCGTCCGAAAGGATATCGGCCATGAAGAAAAAGAAGACATTAAACGTATAACTATTTGAATTTTAGATATTGTTTTTTTCAATTTAATAACACGTGTACCAGGTTTCAGTTACAATCCCTGCAGTTTTTTGTATCGGAATGTTGGTAGGTTACAACTTTATAAAAACCGGTCAACTAACATCGCTAAGTGAACAGAACTTGGGCTGTTTTTTTCCGACGTGTCGTGTAAAGGGGGATTTCCCGGAGATGCGATCGGGTACGTTGAAGAAGACGGTGTAAGCAGAGCGGCCGATTACCCTTGCCGACAAAAACAGGACGAATGTAAAGGTAACGGGGCAAGGATTACGATCGATTTCGAAGGATTTGATTTTCTGAATGGGATCGACGAAGGATTGAAAAAATCGTTGATTAAGTATGGTCCTGGTTGGTATTAGTTTGTACGTATTCGGAGATTGGAGGATGTACAAAGGAAGAATTAGGTACTAGGAAGAATGTTCCGGCCAGGATACAGTACTGAAAATGGTAGATGACTAGTAAATTAAAATGAGAAAGGTTATGGGTAAAAATTGGCTATAAAAATTGCGAGAAATTCTACATTTTTATTAGATCAAATTTACATCTGTTTTCACGTTTACTTTCATCTAAACACAATAAATGTTATGAATACATAATACTTGAAAAAATACGCCCGAAAATGTAATAACTGATAGTAAAAACTCTAGAGTAAAAAAATATCTACCACTATTTATGTCAAAGATTATACAAAACGTGTTACATTAAACCATATTTTATATTCTAATCGGTTCCATTTCACGATACATTCGACACTTTCATAGTGATTTAAAATTAGTTGCAAGCATTTAACCGAACGATGTTTAGCGTATTTTTTTATTATCTATTGAGTTTTCTTGTAGATTCAGATAAACAGCAATGGAACGCCTTTAAGGTAAATTCGTTTAACTCAGTATCAATTTAGTTCACATCCCTCTATTCACAAATAATGTTCACAAATTTCTATTAATATTCCTCATAATCCCTAATTTTTGTTTGTTTCCTCTATTGGTTATTTAAAATTCTAGACGGAGTTTAACAAATCGTACGATTCAATCGATGATGCCAGAAGATTTAACATTTTTAAAGAAAATATTAACAACATTCAAAATCACAACATCAAATTTAAAAATGGGGAGGTAACGTACGAGCAGGACATAAACAGGTTTGCAGATCTAACCGATGACGAATTTACTGCTTATTACGGTTTGTACAACCGATCTGTGCCCATTAAATATTATCGAAATGCAACTATAAATGAACCTAAAAGCTCTGATAATAGCACTGATGATTTCTTGGACTGGAGAATATCTGGAGGAATTACTCCTCCAAAGGATCAAGGGCAATGTGGATCGTGTTACGTTTTTAGCGCGGTAAGAAAACTAACATTTTCAATAATTTTTAATTCCTATGGTTAATTATCTATTCCAGATGGCAAATATAGAATATCACCAATTTCTGGAAACAGGTCAACTGATTTCTTTCAGCGAACAATACGTTATCGATTGCTTCAATTCGTTTTACAAAGGTGCAAATAATAACTCATGCGGTGGTGGATTTCCGGTAAACGTATTCATATTTGCATATTCACATGGAATTCACTTAGAAAGTAATTACCCTTACGTCGGGAAACAAAATGCTTGTCAAAATATATCTGAGCCGGCATCCAATGTTTCTTACAGCGAATTGGAAATAGTCATGGGCTCTGACGAAACCATCAAAGAAGGGCTTAAACAGCACGGGCCTCTTACCACTTGTTTTGCCGTTTCTGCGGATTGGAGGTTCTATAAAAGCGGCGTTTGGTATCACGATGAATGCGCTCAAGCTTCCAATCACTGCGTATTAGTTGTTGGTTATGGATCGGAAAACGGAAATGATTACTGGCTAATCAAAAATTCTTGGGGTCCTGATTGGGGAGATAACGGATACATAAAAATCGCTCGAAACGTACACGAAAATTATTGCGGGTTCAAAAGTGGTTTATATTTAATTGATGAAAATGAATAAAATACCTATACAACTTTGAATCGGTCGATTTTTTCCATCCAAATATTAAAAAGTTTCATTATTTATATACGAAATAAAAAAATGCAACGTTCTTTTTTCCACAAAACTGCACTTTCATTATTTCACCAGTTTAATGTGTAATTTCCTCGATTTAATTTTTAAACTTGAAAATTTCAAACGAGTTTTTCTCGGATTCCTCTGGATTTAAATTAGAAAATAGCCCAATTAAGCCAAAATTAGAGCTTTTAAGAATTAGCAAAGGCGTCAGATATAAATTTAATATGCCGACATGCATTCGTCTTAGAAGCAACCGATTATTCAAAATGACAACAGTAAACATAGCTATTCTTTGTTTGTGCTCGCTAGCATACGTTAATTGTGTTTTGTATTCAATCAATATGATCAAAGGGCCCACAGAAAAAGACTGGAAACAATTTAAGGTAAGCAAATAATCGAAACAAAAAAAATGCGTCAACATTAAATTTCAGTTAGACTTTAACAAAACCTATGAAACCAAAGAAGAGGAACAGAAACGATTTAAAATCTTCAAACAAAATTGGATCGGCATACAAAAACACAATAAACGATACACCAAAGGACAGGAAAGCTATTCGCAAGCCGTTAACGCCTTCGCAGATTTAAGCGAAAATGAATTTTCCGAGTTCTACGGCTTACGCGCTAATGAAATTATTGTAAAATACAGTCAGAATGTAACAGTAAACAGAACGCTACAAAATAACGATAACAATACAGACGAATCTTGGGATTGGAGAGATGCTGGAGCAGTCACCGCGCCCCAAGACCAAGGACAATGCGGATCCTGTTGGGTTTTTTGCGCAGTAAGTACCTACTGAAAAATGAAATATTGGTACATAAATTGGGGTTCAATGACAGACAGTTCATGCATTAAATTATTGATTTTTTTCTGTAGGTAGGCCTGCTGGAAAGTTACTATTTCCGAGCCACCAATGAACTCCTGGACTTCAGCGAGCAATACGTAATCGATTGCATCTCTAATTCGAGCTGTGCCGGAGGAACTCCGATATCGGCGTTGCAATTCGCTAAAGACAACGGCGTTATTCTGGAGAGCGAGTATCCGTACAACGCGAAACAAAACGAATGTCCCATCGCCAGATTATCTCCGTTAAGGATCCGCTTCGAGAACGCTCACGTGATTTTCGGCAACGACGAGGAATTAAAGGACGAAATTAAAAAAACGGGTCCTTTGGGCGTTTGCTTGTATGCTTCGTCTAAGTGGATGTTTTACAAGAGCGGTGTTTGGTATCATAATGAATGTTCATCGGAGGTGAACCATTGTGTATTGTTGGTTGGATATGGAACGGAAAACGGCAATGACTATTGGATATTCAAAAACTCATGGGGACAATTTTGGGGAGACGATGGTTACATCAAATTTGCCAGGAATAGACATGAGAATTATTGTGGTATTCAATACGGATTGTATTTGAAATAAGAAAAGAAACCACTTTTGTTTTAGTTTATTACATTTTGTATTTTAATATAGGTACCTAAATTTACCTGTCATTTTATTTTGTGAAGGTGAAGTGATTTTCAAAGAACGCAATATATTCAACACATGCAAGAATGCAATACGCAAATTAAATAACTGAAGTTCAAGAGTGAATGTCAACTCCCGAATTAACAATGAAATTGACATTATTCGTCCTCGACAATTTACTCTATTTTGATTAATTAACGAAATTCTAATTGTAAGATTAATTAACGACGACCTTATAAATTATTTCAACAGATTGCGAATGTGTGTACGAGGCACACTGTCGCGCACAACTTGATGGTTAAACACGCATACATGAGCTCCGTTATTTGATGCACTAAAAGTGTCTATGATTTAACAAAAATGAAAAAATTCATCATTTTATTGAGTGTATTAAGTGTGTGTTACGGGGTTTTAGAAAAAGATTGGAAACTCTTTAAGGTAAGACAAGTAATTTAAAAAAAATAGACCACTCATTTTTAGACTTTCAGCAAGAATTCAACAAAACATACAACTCAGGCGAAGAGGAGCAGAAGCGATTCAAAATATTTAAAGAAAACTGGAATAACATCAACAAACACAATAAACGTTACGATAAAGGATTAGAAACGTACAGTCAAGAAATTAACAGATTCGGTGATCTAACCGATAATGAATTTACAGAAACATACGGATTATCTGAAAACAACTGGATATCCAATTATACCATAGATAATGGATCGAATCAAATTGATAACGACTATTTGGACTGGAGAGCAAAGGGAGCAGTTACTCCTGCAAAAGACCAAGGAAAATGCGGATCTTGTTGGATTTTCAGCGCGGTATTTATGCCATTATTTTTAATGAAATATTAAACTAAATTAAATATTTTTTATTGAACAAGAGGATTCATGATTTGCACTATTTTAATTTCAGGTGGGCAATTTAGAGAGCTTGTACTTTAGGAAAACGGGAAATTTGGAGACCTTCAGTGAGCAGTATATCGTGGATTGCATCTCTAATGAAAGCTGTGATGGAGGAAGTCCAAAGTGGGCGTTCGAATTCATGAAGGAAAAAGGCGTGCGATTGGAAAGCGATTATCCCTACAACGCCGAACAGAACAACTGTAAAAATCTAACGACACCTGTCCTGTTTGTAGATTTCAATTCAACATGCTTCCAAAATTCCATGGACGAAGTTGTTTTGAAAGAGGCTGTAAGGCAAAATGGGCCGCTATCCGTTTGCCTGTATGTAACCTACAGATGGAGGTTTTACAAAAGCGGAGTTTGGTTCCATAACCAGTGCTCAGATTTTTCGAATCATTGTTTAGTCTTAGTGGGTTATGGTACGGAAAATGGTAAGAATTACTGGTTGATTAAAAACTCTTGGGGACCAAATTGGGGAGAAAACGGTTTCATTAAAGTTGCTAGATTTAAACATCAAAACTACTGCGGATTGTACAACGCAGGCAACGCCTACCTAATATAGATATTAATTGAGGTAATTTGTTATAAGCTTATTATTAAGTAGGAGAATTTACAACAAGCAACTTGTTTATATTTTACTGGTGTTAAATTTTTAACAAACCACTATTTACTTATAACCATTTCAGTATCGTATAATATTCCAAGCATTTGTTATAATAATATTCATAGAAATGACCGGCTTATGTAGCTTTATACCTCGATATCGGTTTGGACGAGCATAAAACATTATGGAAGTGTAAACGCACTATTTATGGACGTTGTAGTTATTGTAGCCGAGAGCATTTTACTTTACAGTCTCAGAGTTATAATTTGATCAGTCGTGCTATGAGACAGCCTTAACCATTGATTAATAGCAATTAGACATTAGCTTGCATTCCATGAGTGGATAGTGTTAAAATAAATTATGGTCGGTGTGGAGAGTATTTTTTATAAGGGTGAGTGCCGCAATGCACAACAAATTCCTTAAATGCATGATAATACACCGTGCAATGTGTACAGAGAAAATCGCTTTCGTGCAGGACAGGACTTAAGAAATTGTTTCATAAATTACAGCTTTACATATTAATTAAACATTGAATTATAATTATTGTATTGTAGGCTTAAATTGTAATCTATAATTTTTAAAAGCAATGAGTATAATTGTAACAGATTTTTAATTCCCCTTTACCAATACGTTTAATAACATTTTTCCGGACTTAGCTGAAAAAAAAAACCGCTTAGAAAAAGAAGGAATGTTTATCAATTTATTGACATGACATGGCATTGTCGTTAATAGGGAAATAATACGAAGGAAACAATTATTATACGTTTTCTGTCAGAATGGAGTTCTGTGACAATGACAGGCATGTTTTGAATTATTATTTTTCCGTTAATAAATTGATCTGAGGGAATTGCAGACGCAGATGTTCGGTTCACACGATTTACGGGAGCACTTATTATTATTTCAACTAAAATATGACTAAACAGCATAAAAAATCAGATGTACGTACACGTGATAAGGATTTTACAAATAAGAATCAAATAATTAATAGAGCGAAGGTCTATTTAATCCTCCTTTACTAAACGTATACTTAACGTATTCGAGGGTATATTAATTTGTCATTTACGTCAAAAGGATTTTATACTAATTGGTAGTGTTTTTATGTGTATAAAAAGAAAAAAATAATGAGCTTAGCAAATAGCAGGAGCCGGTTCTGTTCTATTCTCTTGCAAATTGTCTGGCTGGCTGGTCTACGTTTCCAATTAAAAAACCTCATTTATACTCGAGCAGAAATTACACGATGCAATTTAAAAAGTATCAAGGTTCTGAGGAAATTCAGCCCTTAAATCGAAATAGTTCTTCGGGCTGATTTTCTCCGCGGATTTTTCCGCGCGCCTAATGAAACATCACGCGCACGAATAATTTTTATGCGATTTGAAAAGATTTGGCGTGTCTAAACGTTCCTCGAATCCAATTCCGCCCGTTTTAATTGGATTTTTGTTTTGTATATAAATTTCGGATTAAAATTAAATTTAAATTACTCCGACGCGATGTTCGTTTTTCTTTTTATTCGGATAAAGGAAAAAAATCTCATTTTCCTAATGTTCGATTTAATTCCTGCGAAGATAGGCACTGATAGATATCATAAAGGGTCTGAAGCTTTAATGTTCCTTTAAAAAAAGCGGTAAATTGCTTTTTAAGTTCATTTACGAAATTACAATAACCAGTAGCTTTAATGGAAAATTGGCACGATAAACGAACCCGTTACAGTGAAAGGGGATTAAGACTGGAAATTACTTTCCCGCTTAAACCATTCGCTTATCAAATAATTACAAATATTTATTAGGAATTCAATAGAAATTTTCAATAGTTTGGTGTATTGAAAATAGTTTAAACCTAGTTCACAGTTCATGTCAATAACTTTAATGTAATTTTTGAACTTGTCAAATTCTTGATGACTTTTTCTAATCTTATGATCATTAATGGTATAATAAAAAGTGCTTAATTATCCCTAAAAACCAAATTAGCGTTCAAGAAAAATGCCAGTGTTAAGAAGCGCCAAAAGCAAACGATTGTATCCACCTTTAATAAGAGAACCTTCGTCCAGAAGTCTGCAATCGACAGTAAGAAGTATGCACGCTTTTCCATCAAAATTGAACATTAGCAGATCTGTTCCGGCCAGTCCAGTTGCTTCAGTTACTACAATTAGCAATGTACGGAATGCCTTCCGTTGCGCTCCTTCCGAAGCGAAATTCTACAAGGAAGTCTGCGAGGAACACCTGAGAAGGCTGCTGAAGGTCAGAGAGCTGTTAAAACTCAAACTGGAGAAGGTGTTGGACATCAGAAGGAAGGACTTCAGAAGGCAATCGGAGGCGGCGATAATCGTGAAAAAATTACGGAACGAATACTACAAGAAGGGAAATCCGATTAAGGGACGCCACTCGTCGAGGGCTACAAGAAAATTGGACACAACCGACGTGAGTCGAATATTTGAGGATACCCTTAAAACTTCGAATAACCTGAAATTAAAAAAGCGATTAATAATCGCTAAGAAACAGAAAGTAGAATCGAAAATTCAACTAGCTGTTGAAGCTATAAAATTTTGTCGTACATTTTCAGATTGAAATTTATTATAAATATATAAATAAAAGTACTTTAATAATATTAACAAAGTAGTTTAATTGGGAAGACAATTTTTCTTTTTGTTTTTCTTTGAATTTGTTACAATAACTCATTTAAATTGATGTTTAAGGAAGCTTGAGCTTTGACGGCCGGTCACTTTGATGCTGAAAACCGTCAGAATGGTATTTTAATGGGTTGAAGAACTTTTTTGCATCAATTCATAATAAATCTGATGAAACGCGGAAGTTGAAGATCGCCGGAATCAATCTAATGTAGAACTGCAGAGAAATACAAAAACCCTCGCAACCTTTTCCACTTTTAAACTACTAAATCCGTGGAAAAGTCCGCCTCGAGTTCCCGTTTGCAAATGGAATTTTAATACGAATTGTTTCGCGAACTCCAAGTTCTTCGGCTATAATTCAGAAATAGAATTGAGTGAGTGCCTAGTCGCATGCGGGAGCGGCGGCGGCGGCGGCGACCGGGGCTCCTCGCGGGCCGCGGCGCGCGAGGGCGGCGGCAGTCTCCTTGTCACATATGCGGGTGAAATAAGGAAGAGGGCGGCAAGTGTAAATGACATCATTATAACTGCAAAGTGCTCTCTCGCGTCGCCACGGTAACGCGTCTACGTCGCTAATGGCATACATGACAAGGGGGCCGATCGATTTTTTAAATTTGCTCAAAGAATAAACAGCGTCGTCGTCTTCCTCGTCATCGGAACGGACCCGACTAACTTGGATCTCGCATCGTCCTTTCCTTTCATTTTAAACACCCACCATATATCCCCTTTGAAAGAAGTAGGAATTTATATTCCCAATAAGATGTCTTGAGTTCTCCTTCCATCAGTAGTACCAATGATTCTTAATTGACGGTTCAATCAGATTATTGCACAATAATTTGTTTTACACAATTTTCAATAAATTACATCCAATATTTATAATAAAATTTACCACCTATTTACCACTCTAAATGTTTACTAATCCCTAGTGTTATTCTTGCACCGAATAAAAAAATACTACATCAAAAAGTTAAATGGTTTTTCCTGCAATCCTACTTCTTTGGGCGCTAATACATCTTGTCACGAACACCGTCGGAGGTGAGTCAGGGGTGGCAAAGACTAAAACAAAAAATACTTGCGGGCTCCGTAGGGCGCTAAGGACCTGTCTCGGGGACTGTTTATTTCTTTATTAATTAAATCTTGTAATTTCAGGTAAAAGTTGAGTGGGCGCATCAAAGGAGAAGTGGCGATGTCGTTCGGTCGCTCGTCTCCCCGAATTCCCTGGTGGCAATTTAAATATTTGGCGATGTGTTTTAAGGGCGCTTTAATTTGCGTTTTAATTTAATTAGGGTATTTGATTTCGCGGCATTGGAAAAAAGTGTAATTTCGCGGAGAATTCGGCATGAGGGATGGTATAATTGATTAAAATTAAATGGAAAATTCGTTGCAGAAATATACAATTTATAAATTCGCTTGCGGTAGGTTAATTTCAGTTAAATTGCGAACGCTAATTTTTCTTATTTTGAGCATGTTTCAGGAAAACGATGTTAGAAAAATCGTCAACATGTTTTCGTGATAAAATCAGTTATATTGATTCAGAAAATCACAAGGCTGGTAATCTAATATTAGACATATTTCAACGGGATATTAGCCAGGGGCCTAGCTAAAAATTATATTAATCAACTCAAGCTTCGTGAGATAAGATCATGTAAAAGAAAGATGTATTAAGATTATTTTTTTTTTTCGATGAAGATAAGTTCATTTGAAAGGTCTCTCCAATAACCGGGTATTGTGCAGCTGCATATCTTAGAGTAATTGTGACGTGAAACTCTTAGGCGATGCACAAAGTAGACCAGCATCGAAACCAAAACTGCACATTAACAATTTTGTATACCTTTTTCCCATATCTCATCTTACATGCATTTTAAATTCTTTCACATTACTCTATACGTAGAAAATTTTATGCATTTTTTAAAATAAAAATAAATATTTAAGTAGTACCCTTACTACATAATATACCTAGATTTATTTTTTACTTTTGCATATTACACATTTTGCATATTAAAAATGCAACTGGAAAATGAATTCCCTATGAAGTGCTAAATTAATTAAATTAAAATACCCTACTTTGTAGTGACGGGAAAATGTAAGTAAATAATCCTTTTTTATGTATTGAAGCATATTTATATTTCAGCCATCGCAAGACTACAAAAGAGAAGAGAATCCAAAGCTCTCGTTTCAAAATATAAAATATGAGTTATATCTGTGAGCCCATTAGCAATAATAACCGTCATTTCTTTGTCATTTCGCCGTACGTTCAAAAGGAGATTTATTCGATTCAATTGCGCTTCGTGTTTTTACAAAACTACAAACCATTTACAGTAATTACAATGCATGTGTAGGATTCCGAAATAAGCGGGTAATTATAGCTGGTTTTTTTTTTATTGATTCTTGATCGATGCTTGATTGATCTACGGCTCTACGAGCCGGCATTCAGTCATAGATCACGCTCTCGGCGATCATAACTCGGACGAGACCGTCTTTCGGCCTTTATCTTGATAGAAACGCAGCCAAGGACAGGGACGACTCGAGAGCTGAACATCGGAAGGATAATAAGTAAAATTGAAGACTATGTGAGCTATTCGAGCCCGACGTTTTAATAGAAGTAAGTAGGTACACTTTATTTACCAGAAGAAAGTAACATGTTTAATTCCTTTTAGAATTACCTGGAGCAATTTCCATTATTGTGGATGATTGTGGTGACTCCTTGAGCTCGATTTCAACGATTTCCTCCCGCTCGAAATAATGCAGAAAAAATATAGTTGGCAATGAATTTTCCAAAAAACAATTAAGCATGAAAAGAACGAAAGCGGAGGATCGAACAAAAACGTATTCAATAAAAGAATCCTTGAGATCCCCGAGTTCTGCCATTACCTGAGGTAATTCGATTGGTAATTTGCGGTCAGACTGACAATGACCGTGGCACCACGCGTCGGAAACAAATTTGTAATTGTACATCAAAGTTTAATCACAGTGTCCAACATTCCTCGGTTAATACTCTTTATTTTTCGATTCCGTTTCAATCAAGAGCCGAAGGACGTCCGTTAATATCCAGCTCGTGTATACCGGGGCAGATTTTTTTTTCTATCGCTGCCGTAATGACCACAATAATTACCATTTTAAATATAATTTTATTTTTGTACGGTTATTAAAGCAAATAATTCTAAGTGTATTGCATTCTTCTCTCTACGATTCTTATTACGGCTCTTTTTTACTTTTTACACGGTAATAGGTTTCTTTCACTCTTGCAGCTTTTTTTTAAAAGAAACGTGTGCGGATTCAAAGAAATGTTAAGGCATTTAGCATGCGTTTGGATTATAAAAGATTATAATTTTCTTCTTAAACGTAAATTCTTACACCTCTTACTTTAAAAAAATTATAACAATCAACAAATAGCTAATTAAACGATTATTAGCTGATTAAAGTTAATTAAAGCTAACATGAATCTATTTCTTAAATTCAAATATTCGCGCTCTTAAAACACTTTAATGCCAAGTGTCAAACACAGAGCGCAAGTCAAAATGAATACGCGCTGTGCTAACTTCACTCCGGTCCGAACTGTTTGTTATTGTTTTGTTTCAACTATTTTATACTATTTTTACACCAAATTAACATTATTCATGTTTCTTTAATACTTTTTTCATAATTATTCACTTATCACTAGTAATTATTTAAATATTATCGAATAATTCCTGCAATTTTCCTGTGCACTAAGGCGTTAACCTCACTTTTACAACAGCTACTCGAACGGTTTGCTTTAATTTATGATTTGCTGGTTGTTGTAATGAAACATCATTGCGAATCGGTTTGAGAATGGAAAACGGGCATTGTTTTAGTGATTCCTGCGTTAATACGATAAGTAATTCGCCTCCAACGACAAGTTTAACATTCCGCCCGAAAGGTTCATTGGCTAGAGCTTTACTCGAAAAACAGAAGCACGATGAGTTTTTGGACGCTTTCGATAAGAGAACGGTAAGAAATATATTTTATTATTCAATATTTAACGAATTTAGATTAGATTGATTACGTTTTATCTATTTAAAATGCATTATTTTGATCCATCGATGACTTACTCGTGTGTTGTAATTATGCATTCTATATGCAATCTATTTAGTTGAAGGATTATATTTCATAGTATACAGGTTGTTTAGTATATTTTAATTTTAATAATCTCAGTTTTAAGTTTATTTTGCTTATTTTGGAGCTATTTTGATGTAGGTTAACCGCTGTTGCTTAACCTCTCGAGTAACAGTTTGTAACTCCGAATTTTTTTGTGGTACTTTTTTGCCAGCTTTTCAAAGATACACGATTTGATAGAAGATTTGATAGAAAATCCAAAACTTTTGCCCGAAAATTAGAAAACTATAAAATAAAAATTTACATATTGTTGCAATTTTTACTATTGACAAATGACATTTACTAAAACGAGTTTACAAAAAATGACATTTACTATTGTCAGTACACTTGCAGTGTTGCCAGATTTTTAATTTAATGCGTTGCCTCCGATTTAAATTACCAGTAGTAAATAAAACCAGTCATAATCCAATAAATAATTTAAAAGTCGTTCAGTATCTTCCATAACTTTCAAATTTCGATCATAAATAATGATCAAAAAAGAAAAAAACACTTTTGAGGTTTTCTCGCAGCCTAATGTTCCACTAAAATGGCGTGAGACAACTTGACCACACGGTAAAACTAATCCTATTAGTCCGTCCAGATTGATATGTAGTGCGGATTTGCCGCAGGAAGTGATGCTGTGCAGTGATCAGATAGGTAGGTGAGCACTTAAACAGTTCGTGCTTCATTTGACAGTTTGCGAGATTAGAAGGAACCCTCCATACGCCTCGTCAGGGATTTCATTCTATTTGTTCTTTTGTAGGTTATAAAAGTAGCTAATTTAGCGCCGTTGATCGGCACTTACGTTCGTAATTTATTAGAGTAAAAATCAAAATTTATTTAGATATTCAGGATTATTTTTTTAATATATACCATGTTGTAAATTATATTACGATTCACATAATTTGAAAAAGGTATTATTAGTTCCCCTAATCATTTATACTAAATCAATCCAGAAATTACATTGTGGATACATTTTATTCGTGTGATCTAACACTTGAATTATCCATCAATTGCTCGGCGAGCAACGAGCATTAGCAATAACTGACCCGTTGTTCATCAACACTGCCCGTAACTACGTCATTATAAAATATTCATCAAGCAAATACTTATTTATTATTGAATAATTGTTAATGATTATTGGGTACTTTGATAACCCACACGTAAGGAAAATCGCCTATAATTGGATTCGAGGTGATGTGGTAAATTATTTACCAAATCATTATCCGTTTTGGCTGTTTCCTAAGAGTTTTCTTTTTGTACAGGATATAGTTCTTTTATCATTTCGGTATACAGGGTGTTCTCGAACTTATGACACTAAATTAAAGGAATATTAGCTCACCTATTTTGTTGTTGAAAGCTGCTTAATATTGTTCCAGAACATCACTTAAAACGAACAATAACTAACTAAACTAAGGACACTAAGAACTAAAACAATCAAATAAATCACTAAAGTCTAGTCACAAAAATCTATTTAACCCCGATTTGATAATCAAAACAATACAATTCGCACTAGAAAACGATCGGAAACGAAACGATAACGTTTTTCTAAAACTGTAGGGCGGAGGGGGAAATTTGTGCTTGCTGATAAAATGCACCGAATCTGTTTTTTGAGTTAAAATTCCGATCAGCTGACTATTCAGGCTATGGTTGTATTCGCTCTTTGCATTTATTTCTAATGGCACTATTTTGTTTATTATAATTTTTTTTAGAAAAATTAAATCTGCGAATCGGTCTCAAATTATGTAAACTACCACCCCTAGAATTTAGTGTTATAAGTTCGAGAACACCCTGTATAACTGAATTGTACACAATTCTATGTTGTACAAAAAAAGTTTGTTGACGAGATGCTATAATAGTTTATAACTTAATTGATTCTTCTGTCGATTCGATTATTCGTAATGGCAGCATCAATATTTCCGAAGTTGCTAACGGAATTTACCCTCGCGCTATTGCAAATTATAAAACCCCCAAAAAATGAATGAAACGCCGATAATTGAGTTTGCACAACCACACTGGATTATTTATGTAATCGTTTCGAAGAGGGGAATTAAGTGCCATCAGACCCAACGAGCTACTATGGGGATTTTTAAATCCCAGCGCTTTTCGCGGAAAAAAAGCGTCAAAAAGGAAGCCCGCTGCGACATTGGCGTAACTTTATCGGCTATTTTAACTTGCAAGGTGCTATTATTTTCGTTGAAAACTAGCGATCTTTCAATTATAATTAAATATTATACATCAGGATTTTAAAAATCGCGTGATTATAAAATGAGAGGGTGAATTTTTGACTTTTATATACGCATACGTAACGCCACTGATGGTTGATTATTTATGAATGCGTATGGAAGTAAAGCTGATGAAGCGGAGAGTCATATAGATTTTTGGACGCTTTGATTTTTCAGTCGAGAAAGTCCTTAAGCATATTAAGAAACATGATTCGCTCGAATGTGGTCCGGCTTTTAAAAAGGAATAGCGAAGCAATTACGAGAAAATCGTTTCGTAAGACGGTTCCTTATAGAACGGTTCGTGTGTTATGTTGAAAAATTTGAATTTCCCATGTCGAACAATTTGCTTTATGTATGCAAGGGATGATCACTTTGTGGGGGTCTTGGGCGATTCATCAAATGTACCAATTATATTTTTCTAAAGAAGTATATGTACAGGATTTTTTATTCAATCTATTTGCTACGTTAAGTTCTAAATTAACATAACAAATTGTTCTTCGAAAGGAATATAATCTTTAGTCGTGGAAATAATGTTGCAGGATAGAAGAGGTGATTAAGATAAAAAGATATTTTATTATCAATACCCTCATAAAATTTGTTCAGTATACTTTAATCAAATGTTTGGTAATGTTTAGTTATGAAGTACCTACATTTAGAGTCGAGGTAAGAGATTTTGAATACTTTTACACGTAATCTGTTATTAAATAATAAAACAAAGATTATGAAGATAACATTTTAGTCAGAGTCAGATAAAAAAACGTGTGATTTTTTTTATTATAGCTCGTATTCAGATTTATATTCAAAGAGCAATACAATATTTCTTTAAAAATTTCCCATAACCTCCTGTATAAGTATATAAGTTTTAAAAAGAGCATTAATTCTTTAGTTTTTCCTGCTACTTACAAGTAATCCGGTATTCTGCAGTAAAATTATTCATAAGCTGCCCATATTTCGTTACCCAAACATAACGTCCCTTTCGCAAATACGTTCATTTTTGAGCGAAATCTCATCAGACGTAAGTAATTTCGTATTCACGTTGCGCCCTTACGGAACGAAGGGACGTATACGGAGAACCAAGAACGTATTATCTGAAGTATGTGGACATTCGTATTTTGTCTGTGTGACATGTAGACCAGGCCAGTTTGTCACGAGATGTATTTTACGAGTGGTCCCAAAGGCATGCTAACCTCTGTTACGTACCTTCCCTTTTAGCGTGCGACCCGCTGCGCGAAGACTTGGCTTTGATGGAACGAATGAAAACGGCGAGGGTGCGGGGGCGCGAGGGGGTTCCCTTTTTTTTCGGTTTTCTCGCTGCATACGAGGTGAAAAACCAGTAGGCTCGAGAATCTCACGAACGTCCCCGAATTGGTATTTAAACTTTCCCTGAACTAGTCGTTAAATTATTTTCTTTTTGGGGGTTTTAAATTGTCTCGCCGAATTCCAGGTTTGCTTTGCAAGAGTTCGGTGTATCCCTCAACCGGGATTTCTTTTGTTATGTATTCCAGTTCGAAGAAAAGCTTTGTACACGCATAATGATGGCGGCTAATAGAAGAGAAAAGCGCACGCCGTAAACGCGCGCCGCCTTCGTTTCTACCAGGAACGAATTATATTTCGGGAAAAGCGTAAGGGATTACAAAAACAAATGTAAGTGTTTCGGGCTTTAAAATTACTTTGTCAGTTTTATATAAGCCCGACGTGAAAAATATTACAACGTAATTGGATGTTTTCCCCAACATGAAACTTCCATACTGATATGAAGTAGGCGCCGGAAAGTTTCTTACGTAAATTAGAAAATTGATGCTATAATAAAACAACACATAAAACATTCCTTTAACTACCTATCATACAATATTTTTAACCATTTATTATTATAATTATTTTCTATTGATCCTAACCAATAACGAAAGCCCAATCTAATAATAATAACTGTATTAAGTTAAATCAAACAGTACGATTTTATCAATATCACCTCGAATTATCATCACGACCGGCGTACCATTTAACTGACGTCCAATGGAAAGTATCTTTCCCAACGATCTCTTAGGACTTGTATTTAACAGCCTGCTTGGCGCCCAAAGGCGTGCTAGATCCGCCAATCTCCGCCTGGGCATCGGTATACACAGCGTAGACTCCTCGTAACAGGACGATTATTAAGTAATTATGAAAAAAATTAAAAATATTTTTACGATAGTAAGACTTACATGTGTTACAAAATAACTTTCCTATACACAAAATGATGAGATAACTATACCTATAATTTTGAGTACAAGCAAATGACTCACCAGCTCATATGTTTGTCCATATTATAGATTATTAAAGCATGGGCACACCCTATATATATCTTAAACAACGCTATCAATCATCCTCTTATAACTTATCACGTCCCCTCTTTAATCCTCCCCATCTTTGGCTTGTTCTCTCTATGCATGAGAAAACCATATTGCTATTCAGGTAGATCCCAGGATGTTGTAAAAATTCATTGTCTACGATCTAATTGTAATTGAATATTTGCAAAATCTAGAAATAGAATGAATTTATAAAAAATTACTTATCTAATTTTTTGTGAGTTGCATTTCATTGGCAACAATGCCTCGCTTATCCCCTCGTTTTCGTACTTATACGCTTTCCCTT